TTGAAATTTCCCGAATAAGACAATTCTCTTTTATTTATGGGAATCTTTAATAAGTGAAAAACACATTAAATAAATAATATAATGTAAAATAAACAAAGAAGAAGAAAAAAATTTAAAAATTGACCACAGTTGGGATTCGAACCCACGCCCCCTCGCTCCATGCGTAAGTCAGTAGAACATGGTCTTAGCCGTTGGACCACGCTTATACGAGGAGCGCGCTGCGACGTAGCTTCAAGTACCCTCTCCCGGTTTGCTAAACAAAAGACTTAAGGGACCATTGCGGCCCCCCTAATTGGCCTATAAAAATTTGCTTTGGTTGAGGGGTTCACCTCATAGAAGCCTAATTTCGGTCCGAGTTTGAAAATTATAGCATAATGTTAAAGGGAAGTAGGTTGGCTTAAAATTTGATACTTTTTCCCGCCATTTTATTTTATTTTATTTTTTATTCCATTATGCTTTCTTTCTCAAAGTGACACCCTTGATTTTATACTTAAAACAAAATATGTCGCCTGTTAAACTATCGCGAAAATATTGTAAAAGGCGTTTAAAAAAAATAATATAATATAAATAAACTAATTTTCCGGAATTTAACCTATTTTTGAGCATTATTTGAAATTTCCCGAATAAAAAAATTCTCTTCTATTAATGAGATTCTTTAATAAGTCGAAAAACACATTAAATAATATAATATTTTCCCGCCATTTTATTTTATTTTTTATCCATTATGCTTTCTTTCTCAAAGAGACACCGTTGATTTTATACTTAGAACAAAATATTTCGCCTGTTAAACTATCGCGAAAATATTGTAAAAGGCGTTTAAAAAAATAATATAATTTAAATAAACTAATTTTCCGGAATTTAACCTATTTTTAAGCATTATTTGAAATTTCCTGAATAAAAAAATTCTCTTTTATTAATGGGATTCTTTAATAAGTCGAAAAACACATTAAATAAATAATATAATGTAAAATAAACAAAAGAAGAAAAAAATTATAAAATTCAAAAATTGACCACGGTTGGGGTTCGAACCTACGCCCTCTCGCGCCATGCGTAAGTCGTTAGCACATGGTCTTGGCCGTTGGACCACGCTTTTACGAGAATCGTGCTACGACATAGCTTCAAGTACCCTCTCCCGGTTTGCTAAACAAAAGACTTAAAGGGCCATTGCGGCCCCCCCTAATTAACCTATAAAAATTTGCTTTGGTTGAGGAGTTCAGCTCATAGAGGCCTAATTTCTGTCCAAGTTTGAAAATTATAGCATAATGTTAAAGGGAAGTAGGTTGGCTTGAAATTTGATACTTTTTCCCGCCATTTTATTTTATTTTTTATTCCATTATGCTTTCTTTCTCAAAGAGACACCCTTGATTTTATACTTAGAACAAAATATTTCGCCTGTTAAACTATCGCGAAAATATTGTAAAAGGCGTTTAAAAAAAATAATATAATATAAATAAACTAATTTTCCGGAATTTTACCTATTTTTAAGCATTATTTGAAATTTCCCGAATAAAAAAATTCTCTTTTATTAATGAGATTCTTGAATAAGTCGAAAAACACATTAAATAAATAATATAATGTAAAATTAACGAAAGAAGAAAAAAATTATAAAATTTAAAAATTGACCACGGTTGAGGTTCGAACCCACGGCCTCTCGCTCCTTGCGTAAGTCGCTAGCATATGGTCTTAGCCGTTGGACCACGCTTATACGAGGATCGCGCTACAACATAGCTTCAAGTACCCTCTCCCGGTTTGCTAAACAGAAGACTTAAGGGGCCATTGCGGCCCCCCTAATTGGGTTATAAAATTTTGCTTTGGTAGAGGGGTCCGGCACATAGAGGCCTATATTCGGTCCGAGTTTGAAAATTATAACTTAATATTAAAGGGAAGTAGGTTGGCTTGAAATTTGATCCTTTTTCCCGCCATTTTATTTTATTTTATTTTTTATTCCATTATGCTTTCTTTCACAAAGAGACACCCTTGATTTTATACTTAGAACAACATATTTCACCTGTTAAACTATCATGAAAGTATTGTAAAAGGAGTTTAAAAAAATAATATAATAAAAATAAACTAATTTTCCGGGATTTTACCAGTTTTTAAGCATTATTTGAAATTTCCCGAATAAAATTTTTTTTTCCTTATAGGATCCTTTAATGTATCGAAAAACACATTAAATAAATAATATAATGTAAAATTAACAAAAGAAGAAAAAAAATCTAAAATTTAAAAATTGACCACGGTTGGGGTTCGAACCCACGCCCTCTCGCTCCTTGCGTAAGTCGCTAGCACATGGTCTTAGCCGTTGGACCACGCTTATACGAGGATCGCGCTACGACATAGCTTCAAGTACCCTCTCCCGGTTTGCTAAGCAAGAGACTTAAGGGGCCATTGCGGCCCCCCTAATTAACCTATAAAAATTTGCTTTGGTTGAGGGGTTCAGCTCATAGAAGCCTAATTTCGGTCCGAGTTTGAATATTATACCATAATGTTAAAGGGAAGTAGGTTGGCTTGAAATTTGATACTTTTTCCCGCCATTTCATTTTATTTTATTTTTTATTCCATTATGCTTTCTTTCTCAAAGAGACTCCCTTGATTTTATACTTAAAACAAAATATTTCGCCTGTTAAACTATCGCGAAAATATTGTAAAAGGCGTTTAAAAAAATAATATAATTTAAATAAACTAATTTTCCGGAATTTAACCTATTTTTAAGCATTATTTGAAATTTCCCGAATAAAAAAATTCTCTTTTATTAATGAGATTCTTTAATAAATCGAAAAACACATTAAATAAATAATATAATGTAAAATAAACAAAAGAAGAAAAAAATTTTAAAATTTAAAAATTGACCACGGTTGGGGTTCGAACCCACGCCCTCTCGCTCCACGCGTATGTCGTTAGCACATGGTCTTAGCCGTAGGACCACGCTTTTACGAGGATCGTGCTACGACATAGCTTCAAGTACCCTCTCCCGGTTTGCTTAGCAAAAGACTTAAGGGGCCATTGCTGACCCCTTAATTTCCCTATAAAAATTTGCTTTGGTTCAGGGATTCAGCTCATAGATGCCTAATTTCGGTCCGAGTTTGAAAATTATAGCTTGATATTAAAGGGAAGTAGGTTGGCTTGAAATTTGATACTTTTTCCAGCCATTTTATTTTATTTTTTATTCCATTATGCTTTCTTTCTCAAAAAGACACCCTTGATTTTATACTTAGAACAACATATTTCGCCTCTTAGACTATCGTGAAAATATTGTAAAAGGAGTTTAAAAAAATAATATAATACAAATAAACTAATTTTCCGGAATTTTTCCTATTTTTGAGCATTATTTGAAATTTCCCGAATAAAAAAATTCTCCTTTATTTATGGGATTCTTTAATAAGTCGAAAAACACATTAACTAAATAATATAATGTAAAATAAACAAAAGAAGTATAATATCGGTCAATATTAAGGTAAGATATCGGGCTATAGGTTGAAACAGAACATTGATTTCGAATATCCTCATTTTAACGCTATTCATCCCAGTATTATATTTATGCATACATAGTATACATAGGGCCACATTGCGTACCCCCTAATTAGCCTATAATTATTTCCGCTACTAGGGTACACTAGTACCCGGAAATATATCACATGATCCAATATAAATATTATGGTCTATATTATGGTAAGATATCGGGTTATATGTTGAAACAGAACATTGACTTCGAATTTCCTCATTTTAAAGCTAATAAACACACTATAGTATATATACCTACATAGTAAACTATAGGGCCACATTATGTACACCCTAATAACCCTATAATTATTTTCTCTAGTAGGGAACACTAGTTCCCGGTAATATAATACGTGGTCCAATATAAATATTATGGGTCTAAATTTCTGTTAAAGAATTTTTAAACTTTTATAGTTTCTTAACTTGAAACGGTTAATGGCAAGTTTGACTTTTTGAAAATGTGAAATTATTCCATTTGAGATTAATAATATGTTATGACAGATTAAAGTTTCTTAAGTTAAAATTAAAATAAAAAAACGAGTTATAAAAAATTTTGTGTTTGACTGAAGAGATTGCCCAGTGATTTGGTCAATGGTGCGAAAACGCATAATTTTACTTTATATATAAAATATTATTTTTAAGGCAGGAAAATATTTTTGTTTTAATGAATGTTATTTAAGCACATTTCAATGAAAATAGTAGAAAATTTAATCATTTCTACACTCTGGCTAAAATGGGTTTAAAAAAAAATCATAACTTTACAATAAAATGCGAAAATAACTTGGAATAATTTTTCTAGTAATTAACTAGCCCTCATTGACTTTTTTTTAAAAAAAAAAATAGCGCGGTTGATGATATAGTATTACTTTTTATTCTTTAGTTACTGATTTTAGAATTGTTTAAAGAGAAGAAAAAAATTCATTACTCAGTAGTTAAAGGTAAAAAATTTATTTATACAAATTACAGTAGGGAACCGATTATCCGGAACGATCGGGCCCATCGCTATTCCGGATAACTGATTTTTCCGGTTTTCTGAATCGCTACAAAAAGCAGTTTTTTTTAATTGTTAAACCCAACTAAAAAAAAAATATTTAGAAATAATCTTAAAAAGAAGAAAAAACGATGAAGTAATACACTAATGATTATTTCCAAAATGATGTAAAGGTTCTCAAAATAGAAAGAAAAATCCAAAAATCTCACAAGGAAAAAAAATTTTTTTTTTAAAAAATGGCGGGATAATTTATCGAATTTCGTTCCGGTTTTTCGGTTTTCTGATTTCCGGATAACGGGTTCTGTAGTGTATTATGAAAACCTCAATTGGAAATCTTTGCAGCAGCTACTAATAATAATGCATTTTAATTCCAGCTTTCACTTTATAATGTATTTCACAAATAAAACAAACCATTTGAAAAATATGATACATTTATTTGAATTGATTTTACAATACATGATGATTACAATTAAAGATAAAATGACTTAGAATGAATAAAAAATACTTCAGATAGAATAAAATCACACATTTAATCATTTAATGATGAGATTTTTTGAGCTCCTAATTTAACTGGTCTTGCTAGTTGCCTCTCTTTTAATTTTTGTTTTCTTCTTTCTTCTCTCGCCATTCGATTCGCTTCTTTCTTCTGTTGCAGAGATTCGGCATTCCGTTCAGAGATAGAACCTGCTGAAATTATATTACAAAAATTTTGAATTTAAGTTGTTTTAAAAAATACATCAAATGTACATTCTTTATTTTGATTAGAAGTGGAAAATATTTTTTTGAAATCCATAAGCATTAGGGCTCTGGTAGCCCAGTGGTCAGAGAATTGGACTTTGGGAATGGCCAGTGTACGATCCGATTCCACTAAGAATATGCTCTAGAATACTATTAATAGTACATATATATGCTCTTAAATAAGTGGAATCAAAAGCCCTATGGTTGCTGAGCAGCACCATGAGTACAAGAATGTGGAAAAAATTTCCATCCCCTTCAGATCCCGAGGAAGTGGACTATCGATTAAGTGGTGTTGCTATCTATCCCTGGGGTTCTGAGCTTAGACGTACTTTCACCTTTGTGGTGCTCTCTTGTTAAACGAAAGGCGCGCCGACTTAATTCACAAAATTCCAATTGCCGGTTGGCTTGTCCAAGAGTCATTACAGGTGGCTACTAAATAATGTAATACTCAAAAATTAGGAAATAATTTTAATCGTTTGGTCATTATACCTGTGAGTTGCACATTCGATAAGTGCAGGCGATTTAAAGAGTGAATTTAAAAGATTGATGGTTAAGCAACTGTTTGATCGCAGATTTTCGGCAAGTAGAGTCTCTAAGCAATATAAAATCTCTTGGGTTTAATTGAACATTTATCTATAAATCAATTATTGGATACTAATAGCTGTGAAGATCAACCCAGGACTGGTCGCTTATGCTCTGTTCATACAAAAGAGAGCATAAAAAGATATGAAAAAATCCACAACGTTCTGATAATAAAATGGCTCCAGAAGAGAACGAGAATCTGAGAACTATGCAAATTACGTCAAATGATGACCTGGGTTTTTGTACAGAAGTTCAAGAAAAATTCAAGGTTTGACTACTGCACAAGAATTGAAAAGGTTACAAAAATGTTAGAAATAACTGAACTGGCACAGTAATAAAAGTGTTGATATAATAATCTTTTCTGGTGAGAAAATATTTTGCACGAAACTTTTTTATAATGCTAAAAATAATGTATATTCAGCAACCTTCGATGATAAATCTATAAGTGTTCGAACTGTGGAATGTTTTCAGAACAAGAATTTTGCAATGGTTTGGGCTGCAGTGTCAAATAACGAAAAATTTCCTCTGAATCGATAAAGGGGTAAAAAGTCAATGCTGAATATTAAAAAAAGGATTAGATATTTCAGCAAGATTCTGCACTGTCATACTGAGCCAAAACAACACAGGTTTGGTTCCATCCCAATTGTCCAAAATTTATTAAGCAAGAAGATTGGCCCCCTTCTTCACCATATCTAAATCCTTTAGACTATAGTATTTCGGGAGTTACAGAGTCTTAAGTTAATGCTAATCAGAACAGAAGTTTAGAATTCCACAGAGCTACTTTATAGCATGAATGGGACAAATTACCTCTTAAAATGACTTGTGCCGCCATCAGACAATGGGGCAAGAGATTATCTTTACTAATCGATAAAGATGGTGGTTGATTCGAATAAAAAAATTATAAGGTAAACTTCCATTTCTAGTGTTCATTATATTTATGTATTTAATAATTTTATATTTAATGTCTGTACTATAAAATGATTTGATATTTGTATCAATATTTTGTAGCCACTCTGTAAAAACAAAAACATAACTATTATATAGTGGATAGGCAACAGCAAAAGTCATATGTCCAATGCAATGCAAAAAATTATAATTTTGTAGACTGATTAAAATTACATTGCCTGTTATTTTTTCCTCATTTTTGTTGAAAATAAATGTTAATGAATTGTGAAGGAATTGAATACTTATTATAAACCAAAATTTCAACCTTTATCTACTACGTCATTGGAAAATGACCTGTCACTTAATTAAGTAACAAAGATGGAAAATTGATTTTTTTTCCGCCTCCATATAGTTTGAAGAAATGAATAGTTTGAATTAGCAAAGAAATCTTATTACCACTATGGCAGCAGTATGAATTTTACCCATCAACTGTCTACTATTAGGTTACTTTATATCAGTACAACAAAACATTTTATCAGAATGCTATATCATAATTGTAATTATCATATAAAAAGATGTTATATCATAATTCCAAATGGAATATATTAAGAGAGAGATGGATTATCTTATCCACTAGATGAGATAAGAAACAAGTAAGGAGCTGTGTTATCCCTGGAGCTCTAAATTTTCCAAAGCTCCTGGGTTATTTTAATTTTTTGTCTTTTAAAATTTTCGGGCTTAAAATAAAACAAAAAATTAAAGATTTTCGTGCTTTTAATTTTTGGATGATTTTACCAATTAACTTACATTTGACTCAGGTAATTTATTTAATTTTATTTTAAATTGGGATTTGCAATATTTATTTTCATTCTAAAATCTAATAATTATGGCATACTAATCATACTCTTATCAAAAATTAATTTTTAAAATTAAAATACTATTGGATAAAAATGTCATTAATTAGTATTTTAAATATTTAATTATTTTAATTCCATTATTTTTAGGTTTTTTTTAAATTAGAGATAGAAAATTCTCAGAAAAAACTTGGCAACACTGCTTAAAAACAAATTTATTTTGAATTTAAAATTCACCAAACTTTCTTCTTTAAAAGTAAGAGATGGAATTATTAGAGATAGAAAATTCTCAGAAAAAACTTGGCAACACTACTTAAAAACAAATTTATTTTGAATTTGAAATTCACCAAACTTTCTTCTTTAAAAGTAAGAGATGAATCGTATTTTATTAATATACCCTTTTATAATAAAAATTTCAAATTAAAATTAGAAACTCAAAAGCATACATAAATGTATAGGTAAAATTGACATAGCCTTAGCGGAGTAGAGAATTTAGCTTATCATCTGGGAGCAGAGCTGGAGCATTGAAAAAAATTTTTGACTCCGGGTCTGTGGGAACATGTGTGCTAAATTAAATGCCTCTTTCAAAGAAATTTAGAGAAATTAAATAGTTCAAAAAATAAATCTCGGGGTCACAGTACCTTTGCAACAATTTTTTAAAATAAAGGTATAATCATTCATTTTGAGGATGCTTTACATGCTCATTTAACTTATAATCAATAATTTNGTCGTTTAATAAAGTTAATAATGTCATTAATTAGTATTTTATTTATTTAATTATTTTAATTCCATTATTTTTAGGTTTTATTATTTATTTTATAGAAAATTTTCAGAAAAACTTGGCAACACTACTTGAAATCAAATTTATTTTGAATTTAAAATTCACCTAACTTTCTTCTTTAAAAGAAAGTGATGAATCTTATATTATTTTATTAATATTCCCTTTTATAATAAAAATTTCAAATTAAAATTAGAAACTCAAAAGCATACATAAATGTATAGGTAAAATTGACATAGCCTTAGCGGAGTAGAGAATTTAGCTTATCATCTGGGAGCAGAGCTGGAGCATTGAAAAAAATTTTTGACTCCGGGTCTGTGGGAACATGTGTGCTAAATTAAATGCCTCTTTCAAAGAAATTTAGAGAAATTAAATAGTTCAAAAAATAAATCTCATTAAATAATGTATACATACTTTTAGGTGCTGTACTTGATTCCCAATTGTCCCAGCTATCGGTATTCCAATCGCCACCAGTCTCAGGTGTAGATGGAGACATTTCCTTTGTAACCTCTGCCTTCATTTCAAATGTACTTGTACTGAATGGATCTTCACTGTCACCATGAAAGAAGGTCTTTAATCTTTCAGTATTCTAAATTTTAAAAAAAGTATCAGCAACAATTTTAATATGCCATTTATTTTTTCAAAGTCCTGAAACTGCTTATTACATTTTTATACTGATTAATTAAGAATAAAAGGCTCAATTTGTTTACTGTTATTAAGAGACACCTCTGTTATTAGTGAGTGTAAATGAATAGTCTAAAAGCAACTCCTGAAAATGATTAAAATGAGAACCCTGCATGGGACACTATATCAGAACATTGGCTGTGAATCGAGTGTATGGCTAGCTATTTTACCTTATAAAAAAATCGCAGCACAGAAATCCTTGACAAAGTGCAAAACCCATTTTTTTTATAACCGTCGTTGAACAGCCGACCCAATTCTGTGTTTACGACTACCAATGTTGAACTCCGTATCCTGGTAATTTTATTCCCAATCCCAGAAGACAAGGGAGCTCCTGGATCAGTAACTCCAGAGGTATTGATTTGTTATGGGAACATGGAGGTCTTTGAGACGCGACAGATTTAACGTGCATCAGTCACCATTTACTACCCAGGGAGTCTTCGGCTGGCGGGGATCGAACCCACAATCTCTTCGAGATGGGTCCAGTGCCCTACCAACCAGGTTATCCCGGCCCTAAAAGGCGTTTGCCTCTACCCGTATGACTGAGTAAGGAAAAGAACTTGAGAATTGGGTGAAACATGGATCTGACCAAAAATCCAATTTTCACTGAATTCTTACCGTTTGCAGGCTGAGCGCACACAAGTTTTTCATTCCTCAATTAAATAGATACCCCATAAAAACAAATTGAAAGGAAAGACTTTCTGCATTCTAATTCTTCATAAATCTATGAATCCTTATCTCCCCCTGTGCATGGATGGCTAATCACAAACAATTTGTACCTTACAAATTTTGTGGTGGGGTTGAATTTCATTGCTGGAATCAAAGTTGCTTACTCGCTGCCTCAGAGCAATCTTTTGCCGCAGAGCAAGAAGGAGAATGCTGGTGTTTAATAGGTAACCACAAATAACACTAGTCATCCAGTTTTAAAAATTGAAGAAACAATACAACTTTCTGAGATATTTGTACCAGAAATTCATATTTTACAATAGCTATATAGAATACCATAATACAATATGAGAAACTCATCATTTCTTCTTACAGAAAAAAAATTTGAAATTATGTTTATTTTTTTATATCCATCTGTAGTTAAAGAATCAAATGGCTAGGCCATGTTTCAAGAGGCTTGGGAGATAGTCTTACTAAAATCTAAAGGGATTTCGAACTAAGCGTGAGGGATATCAAGCTAAAGGAAGACCACTGACTAGATGGTTAGATGACATTGAAAGATTTAAGAATTAAAGAAGCGTCATAGTAGAAGATAATAAAAGGATGCACGGTAAATATCTGTTAGAGGCCTTATCTTAAACATGCTAATTAATGAACGTAGACACTATTTTAATTTACCAAATCAGACACAAAAAAAATTTACTTTCTCAGAATAAACATAATTTTTTTTTCTTTTTTTTTTAATAACCGGATTCTGATTTTCAAGCCTGAAAATAGGGGGGGTAGCCGCAATTTGTAAAATATAGTTTTGACAGTTTGGTCAAGAGAACGGTTGAAAGTTCAGACCTCTTAATGGTATTTTTTCTCTTTTAATATTTCGTTATATCTCAAGAACTTTCCAAGTGAATCGAAAAAATTTTGTACACAATTATAAAATTTGTTTATTGAAAGATAATTCCACACCAAAAACAATTTTTAACAATCATTATATTTATTATTTTATTAAATTAAAAAATTTTAAGTTGTAAGGTGTACAAATTTCAAATATACCACTTGCTTTAAAATTAGACAAATCAAAAAATAATCAGTAAATTTCATCTAGCCAAAAACTGGATGTTCCACTTTCTATTTTGCATAAAAACATTCAACAGTAAAAATTTGAAATTTCCTCCAAGTCTCATGCATTAATATAACAATGAAGAAAATATAGGTCTTTTAAAACTACTTACTTTTGAGACATTATTATCAGTTTCCAAACTTTCCCATTCATCTTCCCAACCATCATTTTCATTACTGGGGCTGATTGTTGAAGGAGATGGTAAACTCATCATTCCAGCTTTAGAATCTTCTTCCTGCAATAAAGGGAAGAAATAATAAATCACCTTTTTTTCATTGCATGGACTAGTCAAATATTAAATAGTGTTTAGTTGAAAAGTTAAAGATGAAGTTATAAAAATGTTAGACGATGTCATTTTTTTAATTGGATTACGTCAATAGACATTACAGTCATCTAGTATTTTTTTTCAAGCAATATTTTATAACTGAGTGAGAGAGAGAGTTTACTTATATTGTACTTAATCCTCAAAAAATCAGAGCTACTTACTAAGATGACATTTAAATTAACATCAAATCAAATTTACAAAGTTTAAATTTTAAATTAGATAACAAATTAATTGATTCTCATACAAATCAATTTGATAATTTTCAACAGAAATCTACTAACACTTCAGACATCTTTCGAAATCTATCCTTGCAAGTATAAAATCGATGTGGTGTTGTTAATATTTACACAATCTAGTTGTTGACACCGTATATTTTACCCTACCTATTTGACTCCAAAAGTAAATGTATTAACAATAAATGTTTCCCGAAGGGGAAAAATTAGAAAAAAATACTTTTTTTTAGGAGCATGAAAATTTCTAATGAAAACTTTGCAATTGTTTTTCTTTTAATTATGTGGAGCATATGCATATTTTTAAAAGGCAACGACAGATAACTCAAGTGTTGTCAACTTAACTAGAAAATTATCCACCATTCTGGTACCACATAAGTCAAAACATACATGTATATCTATTTAGCTTTTATTATAGATATATATATTTTGCAAAATAAAACAAGCTGAATAGTTATACAGGTTACGATAGATAGATGTAGTTGAAATATATTTTGGAATACTGAGGGCCGCCGAGCAATGGTCTAAACCAGTTACATGGCGACTAAATATAACAAATGGGGGTTCAAAAATAGTCTGCCAGTCGCAACATTTTTCATCGAAAATGCATGTGTGCATTTTATTATTATTTTTTTTTTTCGAAAAACATGAAACTATGAATAGATAATAATTTGAAAATTACTTTATTTCAGGCTTGTTTGGTTTTAAAAATGAGTTTTGCAATGTTTACTATATTTTGAGAAATGCTTTTTAAAAAATGCTTTATATTATTGATATCAAAAGTTTTTTTTTGATCATTTACGATTTTATTATATATATATATATTTTTTTTTTAAAAAAGAGGCCACATTAAATACATTACAACTCCCCAGTAGCAAAATTTCCAAGCAAAATTTTGTCCTATATTAAGAGTTAAGAACTGGAGGACCATTGTCATCCAGAAGAATAAATAAAAATTTCTTCAAGGGGAAATGGCCTACCCATATACTAATATACTTTTGATAAAAAAATACATTTATGATTATAGATACAATATAAATACAACTAGAGATTACTAATAACATTAACATATTATAATATTTAAAAAAAAAAAAAAA